CTTGGAAATTCCCAATCTTGTTTCCATGCTGGTCGTAATGGAGAGATCGGAAACACTGTTCACAGAAAAAGCTGGGATCCTCAGGAGCATGCTCACTGTTGTATGCCATCCACCTAGAATGCAGAACAACTAATTAAAGAACAAAATAGAAGACAACTAATTAAACAAAAAAATACAGGATAAATGATTAAACAACAACATAAAGGACGAAATCATACAACAAAATAAAGGACTACTAATGAAACAACAAAATACGGGATAAGATATAATTGAATGACAATATATATAGATGACAACGTTAACTCACTAAAGATTACTCATTCAACAACCAAGAACAGTTCTCTCACATGGATCTCAACACAATCTAATACAATTTACTATCAATATTTACCTGGAAGCATGCATTTGGCAGACTCTACATTTGGTCTGGTTCTTCAGACGTTTGTGTGTTACAAGAGGGTACTCTCTGATATCTTGTGTATCCTGAGGACTTAATATCCTACAAGAATTAAATGAATGTAAAATATTTCCATTTCTAATTTTTTTTTCTGTGATAACTGTTTGAAAGTTGGGGGAATTTATTTCTTGATAATTCTGCCGGAATGTAAATTAGGCAGGTCGGTAGGTCAGCAGCTAAGGAGGCCTAATATGCAGCCATGCAAATCTCGTGCGCATCTGTCTCTGTGTCTGACGCTAAGGAGGCCAAATATGCATGTAAAGCTCGTGCGGCTGCCTTTGTGTTTAACGTCAGTGTTCAAGGACTATTGAAGTTGGCATGGAAGTCCTCGTGTAATTTAAATCTATTAGTCTACATTTTTAATGTCTAAGTCTACATTTTTATTTCACAATGAAATGGAAATATAAGGAATCACTGTCTAGTTTTGAGAGTATGCCAGGGACATCAACAATAGTGGGAAACATGGGATAAATTAAGCATAACGGGCTTCGCCCGTTATGCAAATTATCCCATGTTTCCCACTATTGTCGATGCCCTGGCATACTCTCAAAACTAAACAGTGATTCCTTAATTATACTTTATTATCAAATTGATGTTGAACTTAAGCATGTTTCCGGATAATAAAACCTATAAAATTATCATTTTGTGTACCGGTTACCCTAAAGAAAAACTAAAATTTTCAGAAAATGAAAAAAGTGGTATTATTCTATTTTGATTTTTTTTCAGAAAAAGAAAATTAAATCAGATGAAACTATCCTATACATTAAGTTCAGAAAAATAGAGATAAAAAATTATATTTGGTAACATTCCATACGAAATTTTTTTAAACACACTTTGAAGATTTATTGATGTACCTGATATCAGAGAATACAATGAGGTGTTCACAGTCCCCCTGGTGCATGTAAACGTAGGGTTGTCCCAATCTGAGGGTCAGATCCAGGAATGATGTGTCCTCCATGGAAGCTGTCTGCATGGCTCCTATCTCCCGGGCCGGGTCCTTGGCCCAATCACGAATCACTCTGAAAATTAATTTTTTTAGGCTGAATCATCTTTGCTAGTCAATGGTTTCTGATATGCTACAAGGAAAGTATCATATCAAAACCTCTTGGCTAGCGAAGATGAGGCTAAATTAACAAACTTTGCTCTCTCTCCTCTATCTCCCACTTAATGCAGAGAGAGAGAGAGAGAGAAACATAACTTGCTAACTTCAACATTCAATCATGTTTTCTTTTACTTTTATTATTTAACATTTAATTTGCCATTTCAAAGTTGTATGGTAATTCTTCTAGATAATGTACAAGTTAAATTTAACAACATGCAAACAATAAATATTTACTGGCTGTAATCAATTGCACCACTGTCACGGAAATCATTGTAAAAACAACCCTCAATGTAGAAAAACCCAGATTTGTAGAGATCCTGAAATAAAAATAAGTTTGTAGAGATATACATGTACAATCAATATGGAATAATAGAAATAAAAATTCATAGAGAAATGGTTAAATATTGGTGATTCTTTGTGTATTGTGACACTAATACTCAGAATGACTGAAAATTAAAAAAAATGTATCATGCATCATCCTCCTACAAGATGTTAGTTGATCTTAGAAAATATGCATGTCTACAATAGAAATACCCCCTTTCATACTCCCACCCCATTTGTTCTGCATCAAGTATGAAAAGACTGAACTTTTTATTACAGTTTAACTGTAACATATCTAATCCCACAAGTTAAACTCAATACATTTTTCTCTTAATCCGACTGATAATGGTAAATCATGTGATTGGCACATTTTACTGCCCATATATATAGTGTAAAATATGTCAAGACACAGTAGATTGTTTGTATCTATATACCAGTATACATTAACCTGACAGATAATATGATGTGATCAAAGTTCATAGAGATAGTCTATATAATATAGAATTAGCCTCAACAGGACACCCACCATTACTGTCTGGAGTCAGGTAATATAACATATCTGATCCCACAAGTTAAACTATACATTTATTGCAATGATATGTGCTCTTAGTCCTACTGATAATGGTAAATCGTGATTGGCACATTTTACTGCCCATATATATAGTGTAAAATATGTCAAGGCACAGTAAATTGTTTGAACTAGAATTTATATCTTTAGAACACATCAACCAGGAAGTAAAATACCTCACAGAAAATAAAAACAGGTGTCATGTGATTAAAATACATAGAGATAGTCTATGTATATATATATATATATATATATATATATATATATATATATATATATATATATATATATATATATATATATATATATATATATATAAGTATATACAGTGGACCTTCAGATATCCGGACGCCAGATATCCGGATGCTTCAGTATCCGGACGATTTTTCATCAGGACAGAATTTTTAAATGTTATTTTGTCCTGTTCAACTGGTGATTCAGATATCCGGATGCTTCACATATCCGGACAAATTGATTGGGAACCAAAGTGTCCGGATAAATGAGGGTCCACTGTATATATATATATATATATATATATATATATATATATATATATATATATATATATACAGTTATTGACTGGGTATGAGGGCAACATATGATTTGTTGGACCTGAAGGTGAAAATGTTGCCCGAGGCCGCAGGCCAAGGGCAACATTTTCACCTTCAGGTCCAACAAATCATATGCTGCCCGAATCCCAGTCTATAACTGTTTTGTTATACCCTTCACTGCTCACTTTATATTGATCAATTTAATCAATACACGCTATATTATCAATACTGTATTTATGGAAAATTATGGCTTAATCAGTAAATAAAACATCACGATGAGAAAGAACAAAATCAATTATATATTTATTGTATCACAAAAATTATTTATCACAAAAATACTCTTCCCTTCTTTCTTACCTTGCTGTTAGAAACAACTCTTGTAGCTCTTAACTTCGGCTATTTCCACGTCGCCGATATTAAACGATGATTAATTACTGTTATGTAGCAGTGACGTTGCGGTCTAACAATTCTTATGTTGGACCGGCAAGCCAGTCAACAGTGAAATTGTTAGACCGATGTAATAAACATTTCTTTTGTTGGACTTTTTATTAGTAATAAATATATAGAATGATATTTATAAGGGTATAACAAATATATATATATATATATATATATATATATATATAAATATTTCCATTTCTAATTTTTTTCTCTGTGATAACTGTTTGAAATTTGGGGGAATTTATTTCTTGATAATTCTGCCGGTATGTAAATTAGGCAGGTCGATAGGTCAGCAGCTAAGGAGGCCTAATACGCATGCAAATCTCGTGCGCATCTGTCTCTGTGTCTGACGCTAAGAGGCCATATATCTCGTGCGGCTGCTTTTGTGTTTGACCTCAGTGTGCGAGGACTATTGAAATTGGCATGGAAGTCCTCGTGTAATTTAAATTGATCAGTCTACATTTTTAATGTCTAAATCTACAATTTATTTCACAATATGGAAATATAAGGAATCACTGTCTAGTTTTGAGAGTATGCCAGGGACATCAACAATGGTGGGAAACATGGGATAATTTTAGCATAACGGGCTTCGCCCTTTATGCAAATTATCCCATGTTTCCCACTATTGTTGATGCCCTGGCATACTCTCAAAACTAGACAGTGATTCCTTAAATATAACCTCAACAGGACACCCACCATTACTGTCTGATCTCAGGTAGTACTTTCCTTTACTTGTGATTCTTGTTTATATTCACCTTCATATGCATGTAAAAACTTAATATAATGAAAATGTGCTTCTAAAAGCAGTTGGGGGAGGGGGGGGGGGGGGGGTCAAGTAATATTCTTTAAGATGTAAGAGGAACAGATTTTTTGATTCAGTTTTTATTGCCTTCTTGATTTGTGAACAAAACTCTCTGAGATAATTCAATTATCTAGGTATCTGTCTCCTACATGTAAGTGGCACAGTATTTAGAGCATCTGCTCTAAATTGCTGAGTAAGGAGTCAATCTTTCACCACGGTTTCAAATCCCACTGTGGGATGTAGAGACCGGTCCATTGGATGAGAACGTACAAACCCAGGTCGGACTGATCCTGTGTTGCAGTTGGTGCTGGCACAAAAAAAGATCCGTCCCTGCTTCTTTCATCATTCGCACAAGTTTGCACAACGCTAGGCTCATTATAGTTAACAAATTTTAAAGCTTTGAAATGAATAACCATTCCTGATTTACTACAGAAAATTACAAATGTTGCCTGACTTCTACCACATTGTATAGTTTTTTTCTTTGTATACTCGTTGATTTCAGTGGTAAAATTTGTTGAATCATATGGTTTAAATATCAATTAATGATTTGAAATGAAAAAATTCTGCCTAATTTGATTGTTTATTTTTTCATATTTTACTGGGGCCCATAAATGCACTCGTTCTTTGCAGATCTTTACCAGCAAATAATATGTGGCCTCTCCATATGAGTGCAAAATTCTCAACACCATTAAACAACATACAAACAAACAAAATTATCTATTTGTTTCATTCACAATTTTAATTCAATTTCAGGCCTAGGGTTTGAATATGGACCCCCGTTCCAGTGCCCAGGATGTGATGCGATGTGACCTGTGTGAGACCGCTGTGGTACAGATGCACTGTGATACATGTCTTGTCAACCTGTGTACTGCTTGTGTAGGAAAACACATGATCTCTGATCAATCTATCAATCACAAAGTTGTCACTTTTCAGACCAGAAATTCTATGCCCCTCTACCCTGGGTGTGTAACTCATAACAAAGAACGATGTAAAATGTACTGTAAACAATGTGACATTCCTGTCTGCACTAAATGCATAGCATCTGATGAACACCTAGGTCACAAATTATCAGAAATATTACAAATACTGAATGAAAAAAGGGACAAAATCATCCAAGAACAGACTGAATTAAATGATATGATTTATCCAACATACCAGGACACTGCCTCTGATGTACAAAACAGAATGAGTCAGTTAGAAAAGGAATATGGAGATCTCTCAACAGACATAACAAAACATGGAGAAGACTGGCACAGAGAAATTGACAAACTTGTCAAGAAACTTAAAGCTGAAGTTAATGAGATGAAAAACACACAGTTACAAACTCTACAGAAACATCTGGATGAAATAAACAAGGTAATGTCTGACATCAAGAATGATGTAAATTCACTTGAAGATGCTTTTGCCTGCAAAGACATATCCAAAGTCTACAGTGTTAAATCAGACATAGAAAAATACAGGACGCTTCCACCAAAAACTGAACCTTCTTTCCCCAAATTCACACCAGGAAGAATTGAAGAGGACCTCAGCAAACTGTTTGGAGCCTTATCATCAAGTTTTTTAACTTCAGATAAACATGGCTACATCATGAGGACAATACAGAAATCACCTCCAGTCAAACAGCTGCTTGATGAACCAGAGACCATCACCATAGACACTGGGTATGGATACCTTTACGATGTTGCCTGTCTGAGTGATAAAAAAATCTGGACAAGTGGAGGTGACGGCACCATGAAACTCTACAGCATCAATCATGGATCACTACTCAAGTCAGTCACCACCAAGTCAGGGTATACACCCTCTAACATAGCAATCACAAAAAGTTGGGATCTAGTTTATACTGATGACTATTATAAAACTGTGAACATTGTGAAGAATGAGAAGATAGAGGAGATGATCAGAATACAGAACTGGAATCCTCTCGGTGTCTGTAGTACCTCCTCTGGTGACCTCCTGGTTATCATGGTCAGTGATGATAACAAACAAACAAAAGTTGTCCGTTACTCTGGCTCCACAGAGAAACAAACCATTCAGTTTGATGATAAAGTTAAACATTTCTACTCCAACTCTCATGACAAATACATAACAGAGAACAAAAACCTAGATATATGTGTGTCTGACAATGGAGCTGGGGCAGTAGTGGTGGTCAATCAGGCTGGGAAACTGAGATTCAGGTACACTGGACATACTCCTGCTCCAAAGAACAAACCATTCAATCCACAAGGAATCACCACAGACAGTCAGAGTCACATCCTTACAGCTGATGTTAACAATCACTGCGTCCACATCATAGACCAGGATGGACAGTTCCTCCGTTACATAAACTGTGGACTGAGTTATCCCTGGGGACTGTGTACAGATACAAATGACAATCTGTTTGTTGCTCAGATGGGAAACAAACAAGTGAAAAAAATCAAATATCTGCAATAAAATCCATCCAATGTAAATTTCAGTTTAAACAACATAATTTCACTGGGGAATCACAATTTTTGTTTATGCACCGATGAAAAATTATGCACTGTAAGTTTTTATGTTTACTGTGTACAGAGCTTAAATTAATCTGAACCAATCAATTCATTGTGGATTTATGATAGTTTTATTTAAAGCAACCAGCATACAAAAAATCATTCCCACAATGTCAAGGTTTTAGACTTCAGATCTCCACAGATTGTGTGGGGTTCTTACATCACAAACCTTGACATTGTCAGCTAGGATGACAAAAATAGCCATGAAGATAAAAATATCTCAGACTTGTGTGTTTGCTAACCTTATCAAGTCTATACGTACTTTAATGCACCTCATACATAACAGAGATTTGCAACTGTACAAATTCTTTAGATCTCTAGATTTCTTCTGTTAACCTTGCACAATTTAAATCATGTATTTATCATTAATAATAAATTAAAATCTTTATATCCATTAATACAATAACAAATGAGAAATATAAAAAGCAACAGGTAACAAGGTCAATCATATTTCTGATTTTTACCAACTTTGACCTCCTTTATTTGTCAGTATACATTGTGTATGCTTTAAGTGATAAATTTGTGTACCAAATTTCATTTCAGTACCAAATTTCATTTCAGTATGTGCAACCTATGCAAAGAAAATAAACTGAAACTGTTAGTGGACCGACAGGCAGACCGTTCAACCGACAGATTGACAAAGCAATATGCTCTCCCTTCTTTAAAAGAGGAGAGGACATGAAAAATAAACATATTAATGGTGGCATTGTAATTCTCTGTTATTTATGTCTCTAAATGCACCAATGACACAGATTTTAAATTCAATCAAACAGAGCTAATCAGATAAATGAATTTCAACAATGATACTCTCACTGATAAAAACAAAGCCCTAATAATTGGTACATGTATAAAACAAGTAGCCATGGAACAATTCAATGATCATAAGTATCTTAATCACATGACTTGATGAGTTTAGGATCCGTACCTTCATGTTGAAACCTTTATTAGTGTTGTTAATTTTGTGTACGTAGACTGTTATCATAAAAAGCCTGGATTCTGGACTGTGACAGTGTTTCGCAAGACTTTTTTCTTCACTTGGTAGTGAAAAATTCCACAAAAGATGCATGATACAATGAAATTAGACCACTACATGTATATAATTAGACATACACAGTGTATACACTAACAATGTAAGGTGTATTGTTTATTTATTTGAAAATCAGTTAATTCCATGCACGGATGAAATTGAAGGTTGGGTCGTACAGAATTTTGAGGTTTTTATTAAAAAAAAAAATCGCACCCCTCTACTGAAGAAATTTACTTAGAAAAATGTGTCCCGAACATCACTATAACTAAATATAATTTTCAAGATTTAGAAAGATTGTTATAGATTACACTTATTATAGAAGATGTAGACTCTCCTCCTTAAAAAATACTTGGATCCCAGCTTACTTACATGTCTTTAACATGTTACACTGATAAACACTCAGAACTGTAAATAGTTGAGAAGAATAAGCAGATAGTGGTGATCTCAAATGTTCATCTTTCAACTTAGTACTCATATTGAAAAAGATGTAAATGTTTTTGGATTATGATTGTTGATATATGCCTTTACTGTAGTTTCACAAGACTGAGGATACAGAATTGTGAGCACAAAACAAACCACACATTAATAAGTTTTAATGTACATTGTATTTTATTACATGATTGGAGAAGAAAGAAAACATTGAACTTTGTAACTGCTCTGTTTTGTTTTATGAACACTTTGTGGCATGTTAGAAAGAGTTAAAAGTCATCAAACTACTTTCACAATAACCTTCATTGACATTTAAAAATTCTAGGCTGACAATTCAAATTTGATAAGGATCTGTGTTGTTCTGTGTAGTTCTTCCAGTTATATGAATTACATCCCTTAATTACATTCTTAATGTTTTTGTACAAAAAATGAGTTCTTGCATTACTGAAATAAAACTTGCAACAGTATCAGAATGCTAAATGCTCATCCTGAATTCACTATATTTCTATCGAATGCTGTAAGTTTCTGGCTGTCCCTTTGAGTTAGATTATTTTAATAATTAATCTGTGGAGCAGTAACTGGGCCTCTGATTGACTGGATGTTTCCTTGCGGCTGTACTCTACACTCACTAGTAACTGTAGTACTGGGTAAGTTATCGGGATGACTGAAGATTTCCTTGAGCATTGAGATAGACATCACAATTCGCAAGTATCTTTATTACTATCAAGGTTTAGGTGAAAACCTTATTGTTCCTGTGAGTACTATATAACAGAATTACTGTCAAAGAATCTAAATGCCTGGAAATTTCCTATCTTGTTTCCATGCTGGTCATAATGTAGAGATCGGAAACACTGTTCACAGAAAAAGCTGGGATCCTCAGGAGCATGCTCACTGTTGTATGCCATCCACCTAGAATGTAGAACAACTAATTAAAGAACAAAATAGAGGACAACTAATTATACAACAGAAACTGGATAAATAATTAAATAACAACATAAAGGACGATATATTACAACAAAATAAAGGACTTTATTATATAGTCTATTTATAGTCCCTATATAATCTATACAAATGCAAACAGTTCATAACACTACATATTCACCGGATTTTAGGCCATATTCACCGGAGGGTCATTACTCGTGCAACGGCATTGTGACGTCACAATCAAAACATCGAACAAAGTTGTGAACAATTGTTGCAACGGCTGTAGTGAGCAACGTATCTGAGCAGGAAAACAATTATTCAAACCTATTTCAGGATTATTTTTAACATTTTGACGTCTTACACATAGCGAAACTCGGAAAGGAAAACACAGAGGTTACAAACAGTAATCTGGAAATTTTTTTTATTTACAACAATGGAAGATCTCAAATGAAAATGGTGTCGTCATACATATCCTTCAATGTCTTATCTATTCAAATCCCGACTGTATAATAAAAACAATTATGGACTCTTTTGGTGTTGAATATGATTTGTTATTCACCAGAAAAATAATCATATTGACCTCGGCTTCGCCTCGGTCAATATGAATTTTTTTTTGGTGAATAACAAACCATATTCAACACAAAAAGAGTCCATAATTGTATAATATCATACAACAAAATAAAGAACAACTAATGAAACAACAAAATACGGGATAAAATGATATTGATGACAATATATATATCATCTCACTAAATATTACTCATTCAACAACCAAGAATTGTTCTCTCACATGGATCTAAAACAATTTACTTTAAATATTTACCTGGAAGCGTGCATTTGGCAGACTCTACATTTGGTCTGGTTCTTCAGACGTTTGTGTGTAACAAGAGGATACTCTCTGATATCTTGTGTATCCTGAGGACTCAATATCCTACAAGAATTTAATGGCTCTAAATTATACTTTATTATCAAATTGATGTTAAACTGGCAAGCATGTTTCCGGATAATAAAACCTATAAAATTCTCATTTTGTATACCGGTTATTCTAAAGAAAAATTAAAAATATCAGAAATTGAAAAAAAATATTATTTTATTTTGATTTTTTTCAAAAAAAGAAAATTAAATCACATAAAACCATCCTATGAATTAAGTGCAGAAAAATAGAGATAAAAATTATATTTGGTAACATTCCACACAAAATTTTTTAAAACACACTTTGAAGATTTATTAAGATACCTGATATCAGAGAATACAATGAGGTGTTCACAGTCCCCCTGGTGCATGTAAACGTAGGGTTGTCCCAGTCTGAGGGTCAGGTCCAGGAAGGACGTGTCCTCCATGGAAGCTGTCTGCATGGCTCCTATCTCCCGGGCCGGGTCCTTGGCCCAGTCACGAATCACTCTGAAATAATTTGAATCTTTATGGTTGAATTAAGTAACTTTGCCAACCTTTCAGTCTCTCTTCTGTACAAAATCAAAAACAAAGGGAGAGAGAAGAAAAACATAATTTGCTAACTTTTACATTCAAACTTATAATGTTTTTTTATACATTAAATATATAACATTTTAATAATTTGCCAATTCAAAGTTGTACATGTTAAATTTAATATAAAAATATTTACTGGCTGTAGTCAATTGCACCACTGTCACGGAAATCATTGTAAAAACAACCCTCAATGTAGAAAAACCCAGATTTGTAGAGATCCTGAAATAAAAATGTTGGTAAAGAGAATAAAATAGAAGAATTTAAATGAACGTTTACGGGTTATAGAGAAATGGTGAAATATTGTTTGTTCTTTATTTATTGCATGTGATACAAATAGGTGAATTTTATTAGTGCAAAAAGGTCAAATAATTAATTTGAAACTTTTTCTTAGTCACAATTTTAAAGTGTCTTTTTTAAAACAGACTTAAAGTTCATTTTGTTTCATGCTTTAATTGGATAAAAATATTGGAGGGAAAACGTCGAAGACGTAATTTTTAATTAAGACACAAAGTTCAGTGCAAAAGGTCATATTATATGTACTGTAGCGCTAAAAGAAGCATATGAACCCCCATTTTTTGATTTGAATTTTAATTAAGCTATGTATGTAGAAACTAAAAATATACTTGGCAAAAAAAGTTTAAGACTTTAAATACATGTATCAGGATTGAACGTCGTTAAGGGTTAAGATTTTTGGAATCTTTAAGATACATATTTATGTGAAATTTCATAACTATATGACGTCTGTAAGAGTAAATAATAGCACAGTCCGCGTAATTTTTGAACGGCCCTCGTACAAGTCATGTTATCAAAGTACATAGAGATAGTCTATATATAGATTTAACCTCAATAGGACACCTGCCATTTACTGTCTGGTACAGGTAAGATATTTTTTTTTAAATTGTGATTCTCATTTAAATCACACAAGTTCCAATTTAAATATATAAAATTTTACAAACTTGGAAAGTTTTCAAAGGACTTTATACTTTTATTTTCTTGCCATTTTTAAAATACTTCACACATAGCCTTGCAGATAAGCAGTCAGGAAAAAAAGAACAATGTAAGGGGAACAGATTAATTTGTAATGCTAGTATTATGCTTAAATACATGTAATTTTAAAGTCTTTTTGATTAAGTTTATCATCTTTCTTGATTTGTAAACAAAACTATCCGAGGTAATTTAATCATCATTCTATTTGTGGCCCATGTGGCACAGTTGTTAGAGCGTCTGCTCTAGTGTTGCTAAGTAAGGAGTTGATCCTCACATCCCGGGTTTGAATCCCCCTGTGGGACACGGACATTGGTTCTCCGGATGAAACTATATAAATCGAGGTCCCTTGTTGCAGTAAATGCTGGCACAAAAAAAATCCCCCACTGTTCCATGGCCCTTAATGCCGAGTATAGGACAAAATTTGAAGCTCTCTACCAGCAAATGGTGACCTCTCCATATGACTGAAAAATTCCCAAGAGGGACGTTAAACAACGTACAAAAAAACAAACAAAATTATCTACCGGTATTTGAATCATTCACTATCATAATTCAATTTCAGGGCATAAGATTTGAATATGGACCCCTGTACCGGTGCCCAGGATGTGATGCGATGTGACCTGTGTGAGATCGCTGTGGTACAGATGCACTGTGATACATGTCTTGTCAACCTATGTACAGCGTATGTAGGAAAACATATTATATCTGATGAATCCAAGGACCACAAAGTTGTTAAATTTCAGGCCAGGAAATCCACTCCCATTTACCCTGGATGTGTAACTCATGCCAAAGAACAATGTAAAATGTACTGTAAACAATGTGTCATTCCTGTATGCACTAAATGCATAGCTTCTGATGAACACCTAGGTCACAAATTATCAGAAATATTACAAATTCTGGATGAAAAAAGGGACAAAATCATCAAAGAACAGAATGAATTAAATGAGACGATTTATCCAATTTACCAGGACATTGCCTCAGATTTACAAAACAGAATGAGTCATTTAGAAAAGGAATATGGAGATCTCTCAACAGCCATAACAAAGCATGGAGAGAACTGGCACAGAGAAATTGACAAACTTGTCAAGAAACTTAAAGCTGAAGTTGATGAGATGAAAAACACACAGTTACAAACTCTACAGAAACATCTGGATGAAATTAACAAGACACTGTCTGACATCAAGGATGAAATTGATTCACTTGAGGATGATGTTGCTTCCATAAACATTTATAAAGGCTATAGTGTTAAATCCAACATAGAAAAACATAGGGAGCTTCGGCTGAAAATTGAACCTTCTTTACCCAAATTCACACCAGGAAAAGTCCAAGTAGAATTCTGTAAACTGTTTGGATCCTTATCATCAAGTTCTTTAACATGTTTATCAGATAAACATGGCTACAGCCTGAAGACAACACAGAAATCACCAGAAGCTGGATCCTCTCCACCAGTCAAACAGCTGCTTGATGAACCAGAGACTGTCACCACTATTAACACTGGGTATAGATTTGGATTTCTTTATCTTGGCCCTTTCAATGTGGTCTGTCTGAGTGATGAAGAAATATGGACATGTGGAGATGCCAACATCATGAAACTCTACAGCATCAATCAGGGATCACTACTCAAGTCAATCAGAAGCAAGTCTTGGTTCTATCCATCTAACATAGCAGTGACAAAAAATGGAGATCTAGTTTATACTGATTACTATGATAGAACTGTGAACATTGTGAAGAATGAGAAGATAGAGGAGGTGATCAGACTACAGAACTGGAAACCTAAAGGTGTTTGTAGTACCTCCTCTGGTGACCTCCTGGTTATCATGGAAAGTGTTGATTACAAACAAACAAAAGTTGTCCGTTACTCTGGCTCAGCAGAGAAACAAACCATTCAGTTTGATGATAAAGGTAAACCTCTCTATTTACCTACTTATTTTTCTACTAGATATATGACTGAGAACAGGAACCGGGATATCTGTGTGTCTGACGTTGGAGCTGGAGCAGTAGTGGTGGTCAATCAGGCCGGGAAACTAAGATTCAGATACAATGGACATACTCCTGCTCCAAAGAACAAACCATTCAGTCTACAAGGAATCACCACAAACAGTCGGAATCACATCCTTACAGCAGATTATTACAATGACTGTGTCCACATCATAGACCAGGATGGACAGTTCCTCCGTTACATACACAGACTGTTAATCCAATAGGACTGTGTAAAATGTCATCTGTTTGTTGCACATGGGAAAACTGTGTACAGATACAAGAGTTTAATTCGACAATCTGTTTGTTGCTTTCACACGGAGAATTTAATGCGAATTAGTTTACTTCAACTTTGTTTACGGCATTAAATTACTTCGCATAAGCTAAAGTGAAAATCAATTATTCAAATTAAATTCTGCAACAAAATTCATCACCTATTTTTGAGTGAAAAATTAGGAAAAAATGTTTTAATCACTAAAATATGTCTCCAGACACTGTGACATTATGTCAAATGCATATCTTTTCTGCATAAGGTGACGTCATTTGCAAATGACATCATAATAGCCTTCCTCACACCTGACTATAAAAATTTTAATTCGCAAAAAAAATGTTGTTTTAATTCGAGAATTGTTAGTTTACTGAGCATTAATTTACTGTTAATCTTAGGCAGGGCATAAATTACTGTACATCATTCTACAATTTTTGTTTTACGCACCAATATAAAATTAAGCAAAAAAAAATTATTTGTAGAATTGTGTACTAAGCATAAATTAATCTTTGATTAGCAAATGACAACTAATTTTCATGACAAATTGTGATTATTTTCACTTGTATATATAATTTTAAGGAATACTATCATATGCGAGAATTAAATTTTGACAAGCACATTGTCTTTTAGCATGTAGATTAGCAGAATTAAGAGCATGTGAATAAAAGGAATAACTGTCCAATTTTTTTTAATTTATGATGTTGTGATCGAGTGGCTTAAATGATAATTTGCATAAATGCCAAAGGTGTTTATGCATTAAAAAAATCACACAAGCCAAATGATTGATCATCATCATGAACTCAAAAAATCTTACAGCTATTCCTTATATTTACATGCTCTTGATTTTCTGCTAATCCACATGCTGCAAGCCCCGCTTCTGTCTATATTTGTCATGCCCAGCATGTGATTTTCTTTCAAATTGAAAAATGGACATAATTTTTTTTAAAAATAATTAACAAACAATGAATTGTCCAATCTGGTCACAGATGGGATAGCAGTACATGTAGAGATTACTCTGTTGAACTTATCAAAAATAATTTATTAAAACTTAAAACCTTAGCATAGTGTTCTGGAGTGAAGTCAGGGTTTTCACTAAGGTCTCCTGCCAGAGCTAGATCATTAACACAGGTGATTTTGTCTCTGAGGTCTGTCAACTTCTCACACCCCAGTACTAGAATGGTCTGGTCAAGGGACAGCTGGAAGGAGAATCAATTAGTTCATTATGGATGAATGAGATCACAAAAAAGAATACTCAAAGCCAGCAACAAACAAGAAGCACATGGGCCACATCGCTTACCTGAGTAACTTTGGCAATTCTGTCATTTAACAGATTTCCCCCTTTGTAATACCCATCTTGACCCTTACAACCCTTAAGGGTCATTATTCAAACAATTTAGAATCTACACTACCCCAGGATGCTTCCACATGTTTCAGCTTTCTAGCCCGGTGGTTCTTGAGAAGATTTTTTAATGACCCCACTCTATTTTTGTATCTTGATTATCTCCCCTTGAAAGAGGGCGGGCCCTTCATTTGTATAAACTTGAATCCCCTTCACCTAAGGATTGTTTTTGGCAAGTTTGATTCAAATTGGCCCAGTGGTTCTGGAGAAGAAGTTGAAAATGTGAAAAGTTTACAGACAGACAGACTACAGACAAAATGTGATAAGAAAAATCAGGTGAGCTAAAAAGTGGAAGCATAAGTTCAAAGTTATTACAATTAAGGCATGGATCAATAGCTCTCTGCTTTGTCTGTCCAAATTTTTTTCAGACAGCCCACACAGCACAGTGGTTAGAGCATCTGCTCTAGAGTTGCGAAGTATGAGGTCAATCCTTATGGCGCGGGTTAAAATCCCACTGTGACACGTGGAGACCTCTCTTTCGTATGAGACCATATAAACCGTATAAACCATGGTCTCATGTCACAGTAGGTGCTCCCTGCTCAATGGCCCTGAGTGCCAAATATAGGACAAAATTTGCAGCTCTCCACCTGCAAGTGGTTGCATCTCAAGATGAGTGAAAAATTCTTGAGAAGAACATTAAACAATACACTATCAATCAATCTTCAAAGGGGAATAATTAATAAACATATTAATGGTGGCTAGTAATTCTCTGTTATTTATGTCTCTAAATGAACGAATGATAGATTTCAATATAAATCAAACAGGGCCCATCGGAGATGAAAAAAATGAATTTACAATTTGTAACAAAATTTCTCTCTCCATACAAATACAAAAAATAGGCCTTACAATTTGTATAAATATATTTCATGTAATATACAAATGTAGCCTTAAATGAAACAATTTAATGATCATACTTTAAAGGTTATTTGACATAAACCATTATTTTGCCTACAACTTAGCCTTTTGAAGAGTGATCTTTGCCCTAGAAGCAATAATTCTGGTTGTTAAATGGTTTAAACTACAAAACAAGTTCCTTATATACCTCGTGGCCACATGCTAAGTGATTTCTAACTTTAGTAACATTGTGAACGCAGTGAACCTCTAATTCTTAAAAGCATGGCAATGATGAATTTATCATAACCTATGTAATCACTGGTATCATATGTACACATCGATACTAAAAAAGCGTTTGTATGCTTCCGATGGATGCTTTTATGAGAGTTCAAAAATGGATACGGCGAGAACTTTTGTACATGTTAAATCTTTGGAGTGACTTTCCACCTAAATCGGTAGAGTCAACATGTATGATCATTACTCCTACAAGGTAAACATCTCTATACCTCACGCATCCATTGTAAAAATAAGTAGCGTAGGGACTCTAACCAAGGCTCTTACTTTATGTAGAAGTAATGACTAGATATGTTTAGGGTCTTTACCTTCATGTTGAAGCCTTGACTAGTGTTGTTAGGTTGGTGTACGTGGACCGTTATTAACACGTCGGGATGCTGGACACGATATTCCTCAGGACAGTTTTCCTTGTTTGTGTTCACATCCGCTGGTGAAAAATTCTAAAATATATGTATGCAAAATACAAATGGAACCAGGCCACTTAAAAAATTAAAATACGCACAGCACCACTCGTAAAATATTGTGTAAACTTCATTTATAATGAGAAATTTGGATTGGTTTTTACTATTATCTCAACTTGAAAATCAGTGTTTGTCAAGAAAAAGGGAAATAAGTATTCTATTTTTACATGTACATTTTCTACAAATAATTAAAAGGTTGTGTATTAATGAATAAGGTTGTGTATTAATGAATAACAAAGTGATCACAAAAAATATGAATATTTATAAGTAATCTAATGTTCCATGAGTATTCAGTTAACTTTGCTTTCTAGAGGAAATTATCTGACATTTCTTATTAAAATTATCTGAAATTATCTGACATTACTTATTAAACCATGATTTTCTTTTTTTTAAAAAAGAGATACAAACCATTAAGAAGTCACACTTCTGTATTCTCATAGCTCGCTTGACAAGGGTACGGTAATTAAAGCTTTGCTGACGATGCTGTAATTCATCTTGATGTGCCCTGAAAACATAATAAATGTCAATACTTTTAAAGAGAGACTTTTCTAAGATAAACATACCTGGACTCATCAAGACTGAATAACCTCGTACACATGAATTTAATGAAAAGTTATGACACACTCTGTCTTTTGTGTTTAACTGGAATGCACTATTTTTGAATTTTTTTAACTAACTGGAATATCAAGCACTCACATACATTATAATTATATTACTATTGCCAGTTTGCCCTGATGTCTGAGATATCTGCAGCTTTAAAAGAATACAGTCAGACCTTCATCATGTTCACTAGGCCTAGATAAATTAATTCCATGTTTCCAGGTCCCAATTCCTAAATATATCATAACCCTGCAGAACAATTTATCAGCTGCTGATATCTTTCCAGGAGTAAACTACTCCAGTATCACTAATGGAAATCCAAATCTCACTTCTGTGTTTGAGAAAATGACTTACTATATTCAATATACATTACTATAGTAATCAAAATTGTTTTGACAGCAATTTTTCTCCGGGAAAAAATGGCATCTTGCTTGCCAATAAAATGTTAAAATAAAATAAAATATCTTCCCTACCTTCAGTGTACCAACCCTATTTTTTTCATAGCTAGGTTAGAAAAGAAAACACATTTTTTATTTATTCTGACATTATCCCAAATTTGATGTGGCCAAGAAAAAACTTTGAGATATCCAAGATTTCAAGACATTAAGGGTAAAATACTTAAAGAATACTGATGATGAGACTTTGAAATCAATTCCACATATATACTAGTCTCACTCAGCACTTCTTGACCAATTCATACCTCATTGGCTATATCAAAGTTTTTCAAAGTGTTACATTTTCCCAAGGCAGTAAATAGGTAGCCATATCACAAATGTTGAGCTGATTCGCATATCAAGTTTCCTTGTACAGCCGAGGTTTGAATAAGGCTATGGAATCAAGGAAGTTTTGCTGATTGATTCACTCTGGCTTTCTAATGTCCCAAAATTCAGCAGTAGTTAAAATACAGATTGGGGGATTTATGTGATATAGAAACAAGGTCATACACAAGGGTTTTCCAAGATTCCTCTGACTCTAACCCCTGTTTTTATATTGCGACATGTGCAAGTCACAACGGTGCAATATAAAAGCAGGGGGTTAGAGTCAGATTACTCCAGCATGCTAGAGGTTCACGGCGAGATACTTTTGACTTAGCGCTGAGGTATATAAGGAGCGCAGGGACGTTAAATGAGGCTCTTACTTGTGGGAGTAGAGTGAGAGGTATCTCTGGTCAACACTAGGTTCTTCTCTATACTTACCTCAGAGTCATAAGATTGACATCAGGGGGAATATTTTCTAATAACTCTGATTGTTTGGGATCATCGTTGTTTTTCAAAGTGGATTCTCTGCAAAAGAATAACCATTATCTTAAAGAAATCAAACTTTTAGAGCTCATTTTTTTAATGATGAATATTGCAAATATTCATATAGAACATGTATAATATGCAAATTGAACATACATTAAGAGAATTGCATGCATACTTGTTGATTACATAAAAAATTGAGGAAAGAATATAGTACATGTATACACAAGGTTCTTGGAAAGAAAACTGTTTAATAATGTTAATAAACATATATTCATGAACATTTCTGAATGCATAGATATTATATAAAATAATTATACTTCAGCAACATGAGCAAGGAAGTAAAATTAAATAAGCTCTTATATTCTCTGTAATTTCAACCCTTTTCTTGGATGTTTTCTGACTGAAAACACAGAAAACTTTTACATACATACTACATATTACTAGTATAATCAGGTCTAGTACAATCACTAGATTTAGCTACGTAGCTTGATTTACCTACATAGCTTTATTTACCTACCTGAGGTAGCTTTATTTAGCTACCAACTCAATTTATTTCTATAAAAAAGCATTTTTCTCAGGATGTGTGGAAAATATCCTTTTGATGCAGTGATCATTTTCAACTTTGAACTCATCTGAAAACAATTAACTCAGGAAAAAATCATTCTTGAAGAAATGTCTTTTACTGCGCAATTGCAAACAAAGTTCTGAAAGTTTTGGGGCTATGTATGACAGTTAGAACAGTTACTCCTTGAATTAAATGACAAAGAAGTCCAGTTCCGGTTAACACGATAATAGGTCAGTAATCATTCAACACAATGTGAAGTAATCATACTCAGTTATGCCTCAACGCACGCATGAGAGAGAAGACAGTAATCAAACAATGGAATTACATGTTTTGCTCTAAATTGTCCAAACGCAGCAATGTTTAAACTATCTCTGCTTTGGATTGTTTTTATAAGCCTCCCTAGTATGAATATCAATAGTCTCTTAATTGCGATTTTTTTGTCTCTTTTAAATAAAAAATAAATATTTGAAAAGTTACATTGAAATAGCTAAATAAAGCTACCTGAGGTAGGTAAATAAAGCTACGTAGGTAATTCTACCTACGTAGCTAAATCTAGTGATTGTACTGGACCTGATAATTATATTATATTTATGCTCACAACATGTAGATGAATCATTGCATGCCCTGTTTCCATGACCTTCAATCATGATGGAAGACTTCCTCTGTCGGTTATTTCCCAGAAAGCTGAGTTTTATGTCTATGACAGGTGTGTTGTGTGTATGTTTTTTCACTTTACTTACCCACAAACAGTGTTTAACTCCATTAAAGTTTCAATTGGAATGTTCATCTCGGAGGACAGTGTCTTTAGCATTGCATCTTCGTCATCTGTGGAGGTTTTCACAATCCCTGGTACAGCTGTCACATCCCAAGACTCTAAAAATTCACGCACTGATATAGGTTGAGTAGCATCTCGATGAACTCCCAACTTTTCCATTACTGCAGCATTCAGAGAAAATTCGAACACAATTAGGATTCCGTACCCGATCCAATTTCAATTAATCTCAAAGAGATGGAGTACAGGCACTAAATATCGAGGAAGTGGAGAAAGACTTGTCCCAAATTAAGCACTTCTTTAAAAAAAAACATTATGTTTTACTTCTGCCTTAGTATAAAAATATTGAAAGTCAGACCCCCCTTTTTTTAATATTGTAGTTTTTTTTTTATTTTGCTTTCTTATCGATTTCTCCAATATTTTAAGATTTTCAAGTTTGGACAATATCCATGTTATAAACTCACAGGGTAATTAATTAACTGATTGATTAATTAACTCATTTAAAAATTAATCAATTAATTAAATTAATTCATTCATTCATTTATTTATTTATCTATATATTTATTTATTTATTTTATCTTATCTTATTTACTAAATAGTACATGCATGTATTTACCAATGATATTAGTATATAATACTTTTACATGTATATTTTTTTCCGATTCGTTTCCCTTTTCAGTTTTCAATCTGGTTATTTACATACATGTATATACCTAGCTAAAATTATAAGAAACACAAAACAGAGCAAAGATACACATCCCTATGGCCCGACCAAAATAAAAAAAAAAAACACTAAACGTATATATACATGTACTAAAATTTCTAAAATTCAGTATATAATGTACCAAATTCAGTGCTGGAGAAACGCTGCCAGAGGCCAGTTGTTTAGAAACAAAAGATATACAAAGACATGTAGTTCTTTATGAAAAATGAATTCAATATGTACTTGAAACACTCTATCCTTTTGCGGAGATCAATTTTGTCATTCTTTTAAATGACAAATGACATAAACTAAGTTTGAAATGAATATAAAATGATTCAACGTATCACAGACTTAACAGATACATGTGTTGTAGTGCTCATTTATATCTGAAATCTGGGTATTTTTAAAATAAAAAAGGAGGGGTACAAAAAAAAAGAAAACAAGGTCTTATATTCTCATATTATAACAATTTGAGGGGGGGGGGGGCACAAATTAAAGTTGGGAAATGAAATTGTATTTAGTGTCATGCTGTAAATTTTGAATTTACCGGGTGGCAGTAAATAAAAATTTACAATAAATTCCCAAATTCCATTAAATTAAATCACACGTTCATAAGACGGTTCTTTTTTATGCGCCTAGGTCGATATATCCGGAGTGTATATATTTAGATTATTCCTTAAATATTTTTTAAAAGTCATATAGGTGCAACGGCCCGTGTGTTTGTATTCTGATGATATTATTGTACGGTTATCCATGTTGTTTAACACATGTCACTATAATAAATAAACAATACTATTACATATACTACTCGTATATTGTTTTGTCCTGTCTGTTTAGCTGTTTGTCTGTCAACTTTAACCTTCGCCATAACTTTTGAACCATGGGAGATGGGTACTTCATATTTGGTATATATACTTCAGAAATTGAGTTACTAGTATTTCAAATGACATCAAAGTCAATGACCTTAATTGTGACCTTGACTGTGAACTATATGCTAAAAATGGCTTTTTCGAACTTTCGCCATAACTTGAATCATAGGAGACTTCATATTTGGTATGCATACTCCACTAATTAAGTTATTTCAAATGACTCCTAGGTCAATGGCCTTGTGACCTTGACATATACTAGTATATGCTTAGAATAGATTTTTTGAACTTTGTTGCCGCCAGGCGCATAGTGTTTCACAATCACATCTTTTTTTTAAATATATGGCCAAAATAATATATAGGTTTGTAAAAAGTGATAGATATCATGTAGATTTTTGTTAAATACATGTATCTGTAAACGTCTGTTAGTAGCTTCCAGTGATTTGAATTCAGAAATATATACATGTATATAGATTTCATTGGACCAAAATAAAAAATACCTTTGTTTCCCCTAATGCGACAGACCCAATTAAATTGCGCCGACTGAAAAGATTTTTTAAATACGATGATTCAAATTTTTTTTTTATTGTCAACCAAGTTTTATAAAATACAATTTCATCAAAATCAGTTTTTATTAGAACGGCCAACACTGTTTTACTGTGATTTTCAAGCATGCATTTGATGGAAACAAAATAGCGCCCAGATGTGATTACAGAGAAGTAGTTCTTCATAAAACAACGGCGATGTCTCAATCTTATGCTTTTATCTAATTGAATTCTTCACTTTTGAAACAATTCGATAATAAAATTTACCATGACTAATTAAGAGTGTTTCGGACGTGTCTTGGCGTCTCCATGTGAGTGAATAAATTTTCGAAAGGATCGACCTATCTTTGAATTTAAGGTACGTAATACATGGAAAGGCCAGCCTCATGAGCAGATGAGGGGCCCACCTAGTGAACACATCATTCAATTGCACTGCATTTTATTTAATTTGACTTTTGACTTAATAAACAATTCATCTATGTTCCTATGTTTACTATATGCCATTATGAAATCGTAGAAGTTGTAAATATGTCTGCATATTCATCCTGATAAATATAATTCAGTTGTACTTTTTCATGCCTTTATTTACGGGTTAAACATTTGTAGATTCGGTTTGGTTCATTTGAACCTGCGACTTAAAATTAGCCACTTACTTCTTAACTCCAAAGCAAAATGCTCTAAAATCACTGCAAATCTCACGGCCTTCAAAAATGTACATAGCAAAATGCTCTAAAATCACTGCAAATCTCATGGCCCTCAAAAAAGTACACTGACTGTCTATGTCCACTCTTTGCGTATTTGAGAATCTTGTCTTTTTTAGTCGATTTATATACATGTTCTCTGGCGTCAGATATTTCACAAATTCATCTAAATTACAGTTGTGAATTAATTAATCATGAATTTTACTTTTAAACGGCATATGTATGATACTCAGCATTTTGTTCACAAATCCCTTTCTGTTGTACCTTTCTTATTTATAAATATAATTTTCCGTTAAATTTTAGAATGTATTTTCAAAGCTGCTGTCAGAAAATAAAATTGTTTACCTACCTACCGACCCAACTTGAGAATTAAGGGTCAGGTTAGGGGAAACAAAGATATTTATAATTCCGGCCTTAAAGTCCTTTTTTTATTTGGGTTAAAATGTTTACACCTCGCGAGAGTATAGACGAACACCCCACTTTATCAAATACAACCTTTTAAGCATATATTTGTTTAAGGACAGATGATACAAACAAAAAAATGGATGCCTGGATTTGTATATATTTTTTGGCCTATATTCATTGAAAATGATGCAAATGATAAATTTCTAGAATATAAAGAAATTGTAAACCTTCTATGATGTTCAAAATTCTGTCTCTCTGAAACCATCCTTACTAACCTATACAAATATTTTTCACTTCAAATCTCATTTTCGAGAAAATCTGAGTAAAAAATTAAAAACTACACGGTGAAACTTGTTCATTTTGCTAATTAAAACATGACTCAAGTTGTTATTTTCATATTTTTTGACAAAAGTTTGTTTGTATCATCTGTCCTTAATAAAACTCGATATATAAAATTTTAAGAAAAAAAGACATACTAGTAATTATAAAGTCTATTCGTCGGGCCAAGGTAATGCAATGACCATTCCAAAAACCTCTCATAATAAGGCAGTAAAACACGCCTATAACGAATGCTTATACCTGTAATGAATTGATGCTTTAAATATTACATGAATTGTAGAACAAAATAATTTTCATTCCAAATATCTTTTAAAAATATTGAGGACTAAATTAAGGGATAGAACGAAACAGCATCCTCGATCCGTCTTTGGCAAAACATCTCACAGACAGGCACTTCTTTCGGAACTAAATTTTTAACCCATGGTATAATAATAAGACTATACTATAGGTTAAAAATTTGTTTCCGAAACTTAAGCACCTGTGATACATTTTTGAAAATTTGATCAAAGAACTGTGTTAAAACATCATTAAAACAAAGTGCCAGTGATGGAGGGTTTTGCTTTGTTGTAGGCCTATAGGCGTAATTTGATGAGTCCATTAAGTTTGTAATTCACTATGTCGATTTTAAAATTACAGCAAAACAAGTCTTCTCATGAAGTCGTATTTTGAAATCTTGTCAAATACGGTGTTAATTTCAAATCCTTTTTTCACTGTTGCGCCTAATCCAGAATGTTGTTTAAAGGGGTGGCCATAATACTTAAGTTTTACTGTATAAGCATGTTTTCTATAAGCGTATACCTAAAAAGCCTCTTTTGATATTCATTGAATGTGACTATGTTTTAAACAACCATTTGAAAACTAACTAATCGACTTTATTGCAAAATGGGCATGACTGAGAGGCAAATATGGCAATTCATTCTTTAGAGCAACAGAAAACTAAAACAGAAACAAATTAATAATGAGTTCATTTATTAATTCAATGTCTTCAAATCTTCAAGATACAAAGTATTAGTTTAAAAGACACATCCCTTTCAATAATAAATTATTTAAAAAATAGCCTTGTAAGTTCGTGGTTGGATGGACTATTCAGCTATAATAATTTATTCCCCAAATTATTTCATCTCACAAATTTGAATTTCTTATATCTACTGAAAAATAGATAAACTTGGTCGACAAGATGACCATTAAAACACAACAAACCTAGATACAAATTCACAAACTAAATACCATCAGTATTAATACTATTGATATGTTTGGCAAGACCAGTTTGATTTAATACCAACTGATGTTCAATAAAATCTTAGCGCTAAAGCTGCACAGAGGGCAATACAGCTGTTGTGATATTTATCACTAACGGTTCACTACTCCTTAACCCATAATGAAATGAGAGTTGTCTCCCTTAAGGAGAGAGTCAAATACCTTAAATATCGAGAAATCCATTCACACATTTGCTCTCAACAAAATACATTAACAGAAAAATAATAAATATTTTCTGTTGTCCAACAGAATATTTAACTTATTTCACCAAGAAAGAGTTTGGCACACACATATATAAAATAAAATAGAACAGATGGCAGATGTTTGTAATACTACATCATATAAACAATGTAAATAAAATAACACAATGTGCTTTTTTTTTC